AAATACAGATGTTCATTACTAACTATGCTATCAGAATCCCTTTTGTTTTAGTATGCAACAAAAAAAATAGTTTAATGTGCATTAGTAATGAATGAGGGACTGTGAGAAATGTTAATATTGTACATTTTAAATAGCTTGCAGGAATTGTGACAAAAACTTGAGATTTCTAACATAAACATTAAAAATGTTTTAACACTAATCCCATGGGGTGAAAACAACACATCATGAATGTATAACCTAATCTAACCTAGAGCAACTGGCTGGTTTTAATAAATCAGACAGCATGTTTGAGCTTATTCAACTTTATCTCTTTACATTTCTATTTTGGAGTTCTTATGTTCTCAGCATAATTCTGATTTTATTTGCACATATATGGTAGAAGAATCTGAATTATAAATTTTAACAGCCAAATCTACTTTAATCATTTTTTTAGAAATATGTTATTCCAGTCGTTCATAGCCGGTTACCAATAAGTTCCTTCATTTACTGGTATTTCTTTTAAAAATTGTACAGTAAAATGTCAGTATTCTGGTAACTTCTGGTTCAACATACATTAGCTCATATAACCTGTATTAATTGTATAGATTGTGAAGTTAAGCTGTTACCAAGTGTCAGAGAAAGAGAATAGGGTCATATGTAATATTTTGTTTGTAATTATCCTTTGTATTGTTACAAAGGAGATGTTAAAATCAACTGTAATAAAATAATTTTAGTACAGCTTGTGTACTTTTGCTCATTTATCTGTTATTTCAGATAGCTGCTATGTCATGAACTTATTTTTTTATGATACAGAAACTTACATCATTTGATACAATGTTTGGTTTGTTATAAATGTAGCCATGCTGAAATCACTAATTGAATCCATTAAGTACATTTCAGAACATTAAGAAAAGTTGGCCAGTTTTCCATTATCTAGTTAACGAAGAAAACTATTTAGCATTAATTGCAACAGTCACTTTTGAATACGAGAAAATTTTAATAAAAATTAAACCAGAAGATATACAAAAGAATTTGTATATTTGACTTTTAGTTTGTTTTAAAAATATACACCCTTGCTTTTGAGGACTGTTATTTACATCTAAATATTTATTTTTAATTTACAGAAATGAGATGTGCCTTCTTGGGTGCTGGATTTTCACATTGTATTTATAAGTGTTGATTTAGAGTTTGGAGACTATCTATTGTAAACTTTTGGGCTTGAATCTTTGTCTCATTTCTTTCAGTTATAATAAAATCCAAGCTTGATAGTAACTATACACAGCAGTTGTACATATGTATACTTGCAGATATAGGAAAACAAATTGCAGGCTTGACCTTCCTGAAAATAGCCAATTCTGGATACATTTTTAAAAATATGAGAATTTTATATTCGGGGGACGAATGATGTTAGTGCTAGAAAATGAAGTGCTTTCATAGGATCAGGTTTAGGCTGTTCATTCTGTCATTCTACTATTCATTCAATGAGATGATGTTGATCCCTATCCATTGTTATAATCCCAGTTGATGTTATTACCAGAAAAGTCAGATCCCAGACTGAAATCTGGCATGATAGATCACATTTTCTTTCGAATTTAATAAGGTGGTATTTCACTGAAACACGTGCAAGTTTTATCAATGAGTTTATTATGCAAAAGCAGTGAAGATGAAATAGAATAAACCAGGCTATTTACATTATGTAATTTTAAAGATTTTGAAACAATTTTTGTTAAAATACAATCCTATTTATCCCTACAACTTCCCTCTTTAGTACTCAAACACCAGAGAGAATCTCTTCTCTATCACATCCAGATTTAGCTTAACTTTTGTTAATTCCCCATCTTGAGAATTAAATAGTCTCCTCAAGTATTCATACAATTTAGACTATTTCAGCTTCAATTATTCCCTTCAAGGTTTTAATGAAACAATTCTGGTCTGGAGCTTTGAAACTAAACTCAAACTGAAGAAACCCTATTTCTTAACAGTTCTAAGCTATCCTCTTTCTCCAGGAGGCATTGTTTTACACATCTACCTGCTGTCTAACCTATGGGTGTTCCCCCTAAAATAGACTGTAGATTCTTCTAACTGGGAGCAGTATAATGCACTTCACTATCAATCTTTTTTTTTAACGATTTGAATCTATAATCTGTAGTTGTGCTGCAGGAGATATTTTTCTAATCAACCTGTTCAATGACACTATTACACACCTCTGGAGTAGATGGGCCTTGAACCCAGCCTCCTGGCTCAGGTAGAGATACTACAATTGTGCCACAAGGGCTCTTGCACTTCATTTTTTTTTCCCCTTTTTATATCCAGAAGTGTTCTTAACACAACTGAATTTTCATTTCCCCATCACCAAATCGCTTGTGGTATTTTTCCCCATCTATTAACCACCAACAGTAAATCACCTGTATTTTCCAATTGATTGATTTACATGCAAAGCTTGTTAAGGGTAATGCAGACCATCAAGCGGGAGGGTCTAAATCAAAATGGTATTGGAAGGGGAGCACCTCATTTTTTTTTTTTAATCTATCCAGTAGTGCCCTTGCATACCAACGTTTTTCTTCAATCACCTGCTTTTTTTCCATCTGTAATAATAAATAACTCATCTTTTCCAGCACTTTGCTGTTTAGTCTCTAGAAGTAACTTCCACCTGATGCAAATAAAACCCTATTACTTTCCAGGAAGTCCCTCTCTCACCGGATTGTTTACCAAAAGCACAGCTCCAGAAGAAATGCTGCCAAGATAATCATTGAACTCCTTCATATACAGACTAAAACCCACATGCCATAGCTCAAAATCCAAACTCTTAAAATATATATAAATCTCACACGTCATCCCAAAGAAGAATAACAACTGCAGGATGTTCTCAATTACATTGATTCTAAAACCAAGGGTCACTATTTTAAGGATAAAGGGTGGGCCTTTAAAGACAACTGAGGAGAAATTTTGTCACCTTCAGCCTGTGGAATTCTCTGCCACAGCAAACAGGGCCAAAATATTGAAGACGTTCTAGAAATTTGTAGGTATGGTTCTTAGGACTAAATGGATCAAAGGGTATAAGGAGAAAACAGAAACAATGTACCAAGTTTTAGAATTAGCCATGACCATGTTGAATGGCAGAACAGGGTCAAAGGGCCAAATGGTCCACTTCTGCTATATTCTATGTTGGTATACGTTTCTGTGCTATACTTTACTAGTGATATACAGTTGTAGTAGTGTGTACTATCTTCAAGACACACTGCAGTCATTCACCAAGGCTGCTTCCATAGCACCTTTAATTTGTGACCTGTACAACCTAGAAGAGCAGTAGATGAATGGGAACACTACCAAGTTCCCCTCCAAGCCACACATCATTCTGAATTGGAACTGTACCACCATTCCTTTGTTATCATAGGGTTAAAATCCTGGAATTCCCTCCTGAAAGCATTCTGGGTGTCCCTACACCCCAAGGACTGAAGCAGTTCTCTACTACCTTCTCCAGGGTAAGTGAGAGATGCACAATAAATGTTGGCCAAGCTAATGGTGCACAGGGCCCGTGAATGATTTTTTTTTTAAAATCAATTATTTAAGAGCAATGAATACAGAAACCTGAGAATAAGATTCCTATGACAAATGGCTATCGTTCAAGAGTGTATTGGGATTGTCTTGTTATTGAACAAGGACAATACACATCTGTCTTGTATCTTTCTACCACAGCATATTAACCGGTCTTCAGAACATGAGGCAAGGCTTTACCAGTCCAGATATTAGGATAGCATTGGATAATCCTAAAACCTAATTCATAATGGAAACATGTTTGCTTGTTTTAAAGGTAAATTAACCTCCTAAGTGCATCATTGTTGTATTTAGCTGATATCCAAGATCATTCCTTGAAAAGAGAAAAACCATCTTTCCAATTTGATACAGTTTCAGAATGATTTTCTGTTTTAATTGGGAAACCCTGAAAGAGACAGGTCTGCAACAATGCTTTGGATGTCTGTAAAATCTGTTAACAAATAAGCGCACAAGGGAAAATTATAAATATTGAAATATGGAAAAATAATCCGGGCAATCAAGGCAGATTTATCAGCATGTAGAAGCAGAAAGATGAGTTAACCATTCTCGTGTCCCTTTCCTAGTTCTGATGTTTTGAACTTTTGGGGTCATTTGTCACTGAGTGATGGTAAAATGGGGTACATGTAATTGAGAATCCACTATTCACCCAATCTTTTCTTCCATTATCTTGAAAACCGCAGTAATTGTGATTAATGGGAAGCTAATTCTATATTTCCCCTATTGCACCATCAACTAAAATCAAAATCCGGCCCTTAACCTGTCTTTGATAAGATGTTTATGCACATCTCCAAAAGTTTTAATTTCAAATTTCTCCTTCTACCAGAGTTTAGGAACAGAGGGTATAATCAGAACAAAGTGCTGCCCATTTAAGACAGATGAAGAATTTCTTCTGAGGGTAGTGAATTTGTGGAATTCTTATGGCAGAGGACTGTAGAAGCTGGGTTGTTAAGTACATTGAGGGCTGAGAGATTTTTAAACAGTAGAGGGAATAAAAGGTTTTGGGAAAGGGCAGGAAATTGGAAAAGAAGATTAGCCACAATCTCACTGAATGATGGAACAGGTTGGCTGAATGGCCAGCTTCTGTTCCTACCTCAAGGTCAAATGGCACAAGTTGATATTTGCATTGTGGTCGGAGTAAACTGCAGTGGTATAGAATAGAAAAATAGCTCCTTTTTAGTATAGCAAATACAAATAAGTGTGTTTTTGTACAATAAATTAATACAAATAACTTTGCCTCAATCTCACAAAACAATTGCAAACTTTATAATTATTTACTTATACTTTTCAAAAGTACTCCACATTTACTTCTAAACTACGTATGATAAAATGTAACATTAAGTTGTGAAATGTTTACAGAATACATTTGAAATATATTAAATGAATACACATACTAATACCTAAGCAATATATCAGTCGAACTATTTTACACATATAGAAATTGGATCTAATAATTCTATTCTTGGTCATCTGCTTTATATTTAAGGATTGATACCAAAGACAAAATGTTTGTTTTTCATCTTGTATATGATCGTTGCCAGTTAAAAATTTCATGAATATTATGAAAGCAAACAGATTCTTTATTGTGAGTAGCAGCTCCCCTCCTTTTGTGGGATGTCATTGACATTTTTCTTCTGTAAACACTTTTTGTCCTTTCTTCAGCCCTAAAAAAATCACTGACTGATTTGAAGTATTCCAGTACAGCTTCATGGCTCCATGAGGAACAGCTGCTAGTTAAAAAGCCACAATGTCCTCCATGATTGGTTAACAGAAGGAAGAAATAGGGGTTGGTTTCAAATAATTCAAAAGGCAATGTAACCTCCGGATTGCCTCTGCATGGGTCATCTTTGCTGCAGATGCAGAGAAGAGGAACTGCAACCTCATCCACGTCCCTTAGTGGATCATTCTTCTCCCAATAGGAAGCCCAGCTCAAATTATTGATCTTTGACTGACAAAACAATGTTTCCTCCAACTCCCTCAAAGTGCAGCTCCTGAATAACTTCTCTGTATCTATTATTTCTCCAAGAACAGTGGCATATCTAGAAATATAGAGCAATATAGCAGTGAAATTAATGAGAAGATTGATACGTTTTGTGATACTGCTTGTGATTTTAGCTAGAGGCAACATAGAAAGGGTCCTGGGGTGCCAGATGAAATAGTTGAGAATATGCAGTAAACACAATCAACAGCACGCTAAATTATTTTACCACACCAATTTTTCATAAGCTGCTTTAATAGTTGCTACTCCATTACCATGGTCAGTTTTGGCCACCATGGCATAGGGCAACCGTTAAACCATGGACGCGGTGGTAAGAAGCTGATTTCAGGTGTCAGTGTATAGTTACAGGGAAAGACCAGAAAAACAGAGGCACTTCTGCTACAAAAGCAAAGTTGTATTCAACAAATATTTAATTGTCTAAATAAAACAAATAGAAACTTCAGAGATAGTAGGAACTGCAGATGCCGGAGAATCCGAGACAACAAGGTGCAGGGCTGGATGAACACAGCAGGCCAAGCAGCATCATAGGAGCAGAGAGGCTGACGTTTCGGGCCTAGACCCTTC